AGATTAGAATTATTGTTTTTGTTTAATTTTTTATTGAATAATGAAGTAAAATTTGGACTAAAAGTTAATCAAATGCATTCCAACAAGATTAAAATGTTGTTTGCTCTTCGTTATTCTTCTTGTTTTAAGGCATAAGAGGCAAAATGGTTAACCCAGAGAAAAAGAAAAAGGAAAAGCAAGCTTCCACATGCAGTGGAGAAATGGAAGGGGAAGTTGATATATCCACTCCAGGAGTAAATGAGTGAAAAAATGACCAGTAAGTTATACAATCCAAGGTGGGTGCAGAGAATAACATGATTGCCCACATGAAAACTCAAAAAGTATTCAACATATATACATATATACATACATAAATACACACACACACACACACACACACACATATATATATATATGGTAAAACTGAATATTCCACAAGTTCAAACACAAAATGAACAACTGATGTGATACCAAATTTTCCACGGACTCCCCATTTCTGTCTTCTAAAATTTTCTTCTTCCTACTTGAGTAGAACCAGAGACTCCCAGGAAAAACAAGCACAATGACTTCTTTTTTTATAGGGTGTGCTTGATCAATTATTTAATTTTGGTTTTTATATCTATTATACTTTAAATTTGTATTTAAATTATTACGGATTCTGTCGGGTGAATTTTAAGTTTTATTAAAATTTCTATTTTTATTTTTTATTTTTTATTTAACATTTCAAATAATCAAATATATATTAAATCTATACGAAGATATGTTTTTTATGAGTATTTCATTTCAAATAATATTTTTTTTAATAACCTTGAACAATTAAGCAGAACATTAAAGTGGAGGTGATGTACATGCACTTGATTCTCTATTGAATTAAACAAAATGCACTCCACAAGATCATCAAAACAGATTGAAGTGTAAGATACTAAACTACCCTTGACATTATAACATATAGCAACATGAATATTGCAGATGGGAATAACTTCTATCACATTGCGCAATTGCAACAGGAAATCCCCAGTAGGTTTCCTTCAACGATACCAAAGAGATCCATGTTGCTTCACTTCAGTACTCTTTGAACTTGTCATGAGAATCCATCTAAATAAGAATCAGGCAGATCCAGTATCAACATTGCAAAATCAAAAGCTAGCCAAAAAAGTGTGTATATCCTTCAATGTGTCAATGATTTGTGACATCTCACAATGTTTAAAAACAGCACTAACAAACTACCCTAGTTTTAACCCGAATTTTGGTAGTAAAAGGAGGACTCTACATACAGTACATCTCTCAGTTTCACCAAAATTGCCTGGAAGCTCGTCTGCACTACCAACCATTCCTTAAACCCAAAAGAAAGAAGTTTCAAGTTTAGAAACCAAAGAAGCCAAGTTCGCTAGCTTTTTCCTTCTCGAAAGTTTCAAAGTACTGATAAATGATGGTAACTGCAAGAAGAATTCCAGTCCCTGATCCAATAGCCCCCATAAAATCTGCCAACACTGTCAATGCACCAATGCACATGCCGCCAAATGCTGCGGCTGTTGGTATGTATCGGTTAAGCTCCTTCTGTAAGTTTGACTCCCGATGCCCAGGCATAACCATTTGTTGTTCCTGAAGCACATACAGATCATGTTATGATTGGAATAATACCACGACTCAGGTTAATATTCAACAGAACAGGCATCGTATTCATATGATTCTCTTTTTCCATTAAAAACAAGCCATACAGATGGTATTATGCATTAAGCTAAGATATCAGAACATTATTCCTTGCACAACAAAAATAGCCATCTTTTGCCTGCTCCTCTGGTCCACATTTTCATGTTACTAGCAATGTGTAAAGATTGACAAACCCATAGTGTAATTGAAATACAATCTACGATAATGCTAAGGAGAAACACAAAGCCAAATCAGTAATTGTCAAGAGATTGTAAAGACCAAAACCTAAACATATTCCATTGACAATTTGTTTGAGGATTGGAAAGGAGAAGAGATCTCAAGTCCAAGACAGCTAGGCCAACTTTGGTAATCCATATTCCACATGCCATGACTAGATTTTAGATGCTAGAATTTGTAAAGAGCATCAGATTTATCTTAACATCCAATTCAAACAGTCGCACATACCTTGAGTTGCTTGGCAACATCTCTAGCAGATGAGCCAGAAACTTCAATCCAAGTCTTCGAGAACAGTGCACATGCAGATAACATGAACACGAGATAGAACAAGGCATGGAAAGGATTGGCACCCATATCGGCCAAGCTGAAAAACAACAGGCAACATGATAAAGCAGAGTCAGTTACAGCGGGTGTAGAAACAGGAGAAAAATTAGTAAATTTGTTGACATGATATGACATAAATAGTATATGGGGAAAACAAAAAGAATTTATATCTTTTAGTTACCTGGAAGGTGCAGTGATATAATATGCAATACCACCAACAGGGATAAACTGACCACCAGAATATTCGGACTCCTTCCACTTGCCCAAAAGATTCACAAAGAAATTACCACTATACCTTCTGTATAGCAACTGCAAAGCCAGAATATTAAATTGACTAAGTTTTTATAACCAGAGAGAGCTTATTTTTGTTCTCTGTCGACATTAACTTGTGTACAAGATTTATCTACTTCACATTACCTGAGAGATGAAGTATAGGTTGGAGACAAGAGCAGACTGCAAAATGATGGGCATGTTAGAGGTGTAAAACAGCTTGATAGGGTAAGAGCCCTGCTGCCCACGAGCATTCTTTGACCTCACAGGCAAAACAACACGGAACCCTTGGAAGTAGATAACAATCAGGAATATCAAGACCGTGGCCAGCAGATTTGTAACATTTGGAAGATTCTGCCGATAAAAAGCCTCCCGGAGTGCACGAACTTTATCTGTTCGTGTTATCAGCAGATGGAACAAAGCAATAACAGCACCTTCAAATTCAGCTCCACGGCCACTATTAATGGTTGTTGGACTAAATGCTTTCCAAATTATGTTCTCACTGCAAGAGAATTACAAGACATTTTTAAGCATTCAAAATCTGTAA